GACGCTAAGGTGTAAGAACTGACACCAACAAGTAACAACTCGGCCCACCCCGCCCATTCGTCACCTCTTGCAAGTACAAGTCGGTCCAGCACGGGATTCTATACGGAGTACTTCGGGCTGTCTTTTTCTGCCTTTGTTCTTCCTTTCTGTGTTATTTATCATCTTGTCATTGGTATTTCAACCGCATCATTTTCTAAACGTGAGGCGTGCCTTTCACTGAGTTGTTTTGTAGCCCATAGCCGATACTAACGCCTTAGTTGTTTTGGTAACCCATCTGATTTCACTTTTTTTAGCACACTTTGCGTGCATAAAAAATAAATAAATGCACAAATTAACAGAAGATCAAATTTTATTACAGAATTAGCTGTACAAAGAAACTACATGGAACATGCACTTTCGGTGAGCAAATACAAACTACGCCGCTAAAGTCAGTCACAGCTAGTAATATTATCAACATATCAGATTAATCAGTCAATTTTCAACTTGCAACATAAGATGAGTCGTTAGGACATCACATCAGAAAGCAATGAAGCATATGAAGCCAGACTCAATCACATGAATGTGATCTCGTCTAAAGCTTAAGAATGAACTTCAATGGAAGATTGTGGGCGTAATAACTGTGCAAGGGCTTTGATGAACCAAAATCAGGGTTAAGGACTTTATATAGTAGACACCCGCAACGCACAGCGTGTTGACGAAGCTGATCACCGCTGGGTGGGCGCGATAAAACCACGGGAAGACTATCACAGCAGAATGAGAGAATTGCAATCAATATACAGTTTAGAAGCGTACTCATACATATAAAGTAATTCCCGTTCGCCAAAGCTCACTAGCGAATTTCTCAGCAGAAACGCATACGCCAAGCGCTTTCATCACATAACCGTACCTCGAGGAAATGGAAACAACAGTACAGAACACATCGAATGATGAGTGAAATGGTAGACACTTGAAACACCAGTGAAAGAAGTAAAACTGATAAAAACGCAAATTGCTTGTGAAAACGGGCAATCCACAGCGATACCAACAAAAATCGATTATGTAGTTAACGGGCGATCCATTGGCTCAATCTGTAAAATTTACGTTTCGGCGCCTATAACACTGGATTGCCTAACATGTCGAAAAAAATCCAAAAAGACCTTCATTCAATGCATAACATCTCGCTTCGTAGTTCCACTCACAGCACACAAACCCCGCCTTCTGTGGGTAATCTCCACCTACTCCTGCACAATATTGCAGTTTTTCCAAGAAAACTTCGTCATTCTCGGCTTCTATCACACTGAGTGCACTTGGTGCCGAACCTACTATTTTAACAAAGAAGAAGACATTTGCTCAAGCCTGAAGGGGGAAATAGCTGTTGGATAGACGAGCCGACCCTAGGTAGTGACCTCATACTCAAAAGAATAACCCCGATCTGCACAAGTAGTCCTTGAGATGCCCCCCAAGGTAATTAGCGCTGACATTCCGTAAACATACAATGTTAGTTCAACTATGAGAAAAAAATGTACTTACCATGGAATTGTGAACGTTCTCTTCGGGATCGGCTAATACCAAACGAGCGTTACCAGATCCTATTTGAACACCACTGTTTTCGCTGGAATCAGATCAATCAAGCACTGCGGCACTAATTTTGACAGCACAATAAAATTCGGAAAATACCGCTTTACGTTAAAAGAAGGCTTACCTGAACGGGTCCCGAAATGGATCGTCCATGTCAGGTTCCGTGGTTCGACGATAGATTGGATTATCGAAGTTCAGAGCCGTGAAAGCGCCAGAGGAATTGCGCTTGCGATAATACACGACCCCCTGAAACCACAAGTTTTGAAGTCCAAAGGAACAGGGTACTTGTGAAGTATGAAAACTAATCGAAGACACGGTGTGCGATGGAAAGACGCCGGATATGGGGTTCAAATAGCCAGGAGGTGATAAAAAGAGTGTGAAGAAAACAGCTCGAAAACCCACAAACTTTCACCTTGTGAGACCACTTACACCACCAAAATCTGGGCTGGTTCTTAGCTAACAGCTAACCGACTATGCATCTCCTAAGACATCTGGAGCGTTCATTCACCGTCTTTTATACTTTCGATTCCTTACCCATAGCAGCCTAATGTCAGCTGCTGTCACTTTGTAAACGAGTGGTAATCCGCACGATGGCTGCAGTGAAGAGAAAAGGTTCGGAAACTCACACTGCAGCATAACACAGCGACTGTGAAGGGGCGGAACCTCAACGGAGAGGGGAACCAATCCCTTCACTGCCCACTGACGACATTGCCACGCCTTCTCATTTCACAGAATAACTTCACTCATTTGACTGTTGAAAAATCCAAAAAGTGAAGTGATTCGAGTGACACACATAGGCTCCCACAATATTTACTGCCCAATAACTCAAAGACACTGGTTCGATTTCAGTAATCAGGTGCTTAGCAACTTATTCAGCGACCTGGCTAGGCCTCTCATTGCGATGTAGCAACCTCCTACTCGTGTGGACCGACTAGAACCACGGGTCGCCACACCGCAGTAGGAGGCAGTCCCAGGTCGCTGAAGAAAGTGCTAAGCAGAAAGTGCTAAGCACTGAACATTCGTAAACAAATTCCTGCTTCTCACCGCTAACTCAACCCAAATTCGAGAACTCTTTGCTATAATACTCACCATAACAACAAATATGGACATCATCAGGAAGAAGAGCATTGTGCTAAGCGAAAAACCGCGCCCAGCTCCACCAGTTGCGATATCCACTGAAAAAGAAAGGGTATATAAAAAACAATCGTTAAACTTATGCATCAATATAGTTTCACGGGATTATTAGCGTTCAGCTGGGAAAAACATTCTCGATGTGTGGATTACCTTCAATCTTCACGTAAGCAATGCTTCATTGGTACTTCCCCAGTGTTAAAGGGAGGGACCCGCCCAGATATTGATTTGAAAAGTGGGAAAAACGTAGTGGGTCAAAGTGGTAATGAGGGAAAATGTTCTTCATTGATTGATAAGATCCCCTTTGATTTCTTTCATCGACGCCACTCCCAGTTCCCATTGGGCGGTGATGCACAACTCCGAACAATCACCAAAACACTAGAACTGCAGTCACGGCACAGTTGGGGATTTGGTTATGTCCGTGCGACCCCAGGAGGTGGCTTGATGCGACCTCCCCCTGGTTCCCTCCTCTGATACGAGCGAGCTACCAAACGGTGAGGAGGGGGGGTATATGGCACATGTGTAAGAGGAAAAGCCGCAAAAGGTCAACAACCGGGAAAATTCGCCGCTTCTTTCAGAAGGCAAATGTGACCCCCCCTCTCTCCAACAACAAGCGAATACGACCCCCTCCCTTTTATAGCGTCCGTCAAGCATGAAAATTCTACAACCTAAAAAAATTTCTCGGACCGAATATGACCCATTCCCTGCTGGAAATCTCAACGATGATGTGCACTGCTTACAGCTCCAACCACTAGGGAAGGGAGCGACGTATATGTAGAGAGCATGAAACGGTAAAATTCCTGTAACCAAAACATTTCCCACCAACCAACGGTCAACTCCACAGCGACCAAATACGACCCTTCCCTGGGAATTTCTGGACGTACTCTCGACCCGGACGCAGAATGTTTTCATGGACTCGTGCTTTACACCCTCCCCATACTTTCAGTGCACTCAGTGGCTTTTAAGAAGCTTTCGCATTGTTCTGAATCACTTCTTTCCACAACACATCGTACTCATTGCTCGAAAGTTTTCTGATGGGAACGCCCTCCACCGCGCTTAACTTCATCATCCGATCCACTGAAATTATCTAACAAAGTGCTGCATCGAGAACACGTTGAACCTGCACCAACTAGCGTTGATGAAATGTTGCACCGCAACGTAAGGGGTGTTCCAAACAGGGCACGTCCTGTCGTCCGGGAAAATTATTGCAAAATAGGACTTCTACCTCCAAATTTCTTTCCCTAGTACAAGCCTCATTTCCCCATCCCACGCACGAACTCTCTAAACTCTCCCGGATTTCGGACCACTCATCCGGAGCTTTTCCCCGAATTCTTCAGTTTCGTCACCAGGGCACATCATTAGTTGGGGATTTTAGTCGAGTCGTGTGACCCCCCCCTTTTTTTAGGGGGGAGGTGGTACGACCCACCCCTTTCGGCCCTCTGTCCCTCCTCATCGAATCGAGCCGTCGAGGGGGGGGGGGGGGGGGTAAATAGCACATGTGAAACAGGAAAAGCCGCGAGACAATACGACCCCCCTCTACCAATTCCAGATTTTCCCCAACTTTCTGCCACTTTTTTCCAAACATTTCGAGAACTCCTCTACTTTTTCCTAAGTGTT